AAAAAAAAAAAAAAAAAAAAGATTCTAACATATGCAACAAGTGTTATTTTCTCTGTAATTAACAACACACATGCGGCTGGGAGCAGTGGCTCACGTCTGTAATCCCAGCACTCTGGGAGGCCGAGGCAGGTGGATCACCAGGTCAAGAGATTGAGACCATCCTGGCCAACCAACATGATGAAACCCCGTCTCTACGAAAAATACAAAAATTAGTGGGGCGTAGTGGTACACGCCTGTAGTCCCAGCTACTCGGGAGGCTGAGGCAGGAGAATCGCTTGAACCCAGGAGGCGGAGGTTTCAGTGAGCTGAGATTGTGCCACCGCACTCCAGCCCGGGTGACAGAGTGAGACTCCGTCTCCAAAAGAAAAGAAAAAAAACACACATTACCATGGCCACATTTAGTGGGTATAAAACACTGTTACTTCCTTAAACTCAGTTAAAGCATTCACACTCTCCTTATTGTCCCTGTATCTATCCAAAACAAATTAGAATTTCAATAAATTTCAAAAAGATTTGAGAATGAGCTACAGCATGACTAATAAATGTATGTACAATTCCAATTCATGTTAAGAAGTACTAATCAATGCAGTACTAATGCAGTAATTCAATTTCCTTTATCAGCCAGTCCTTAGATGTTTCTGTCAATAGCCCTTACAGGCTTGAGAGCTTATTTTTGAAGGCAAGGAAAATAACAGCAGGTCACTAAATTATTTAACAAAAGAAAGGCATAAGTGTTTGTGCTATAAACTTAACCGCCCTTCTCATAGCTGTAATTTTAGGTAACGTCCAGTTTCCCGAGTTAAGAAAACAAGCCATCACCCAGAACTTTAGAGAACCTAAAATCAGAGCCCGAAAAACCAGTACCCAAAAGAGATTCCTTCACTTCTAGATGACTCCTTTGACTAAGGCCCCAAAGCCCTGGAAAAGAGAAATACTTTACCTCAAATTAGGAACGTTGCCTAGTAACTGAATGCTGTCCTTTGGTGGTGTAATGTATCTGTGACAGGTTTGAGCTAGCTTCCAAAGAATGATAATCTGTTAATGATTTTCAGAGGGAAGCAATTCCAAAACTGAAGGAAAACAGGTGTTCAGCCCTTTCTCTCCCTCTTGTAGCAGTTAACTTAATTTGTCTTGAATTACAGCAATTTATGTTGTGCCTCTACCTTCCTTAATAGATCTAAGCTCCCTGAAGGCAAGAATTATGTCTTAATTCATTTTGTACCACTTGTAGGGCTCAGCGGACAGTAGATGCTCTACAAATGTCTGCCATCTTCCTATGGGAAAACCAGGTTGGCTTTATTTTTTTCCCTTTGAATCACAAAGCTCCAGAACTGTCTGTGAAATAGCCAGATAGTTATAAAATGTAAAACATTATTTACAGGAAGAAACAGTTAGGCAGTGATTGGCTATGTAGCTGACAAGAGCTCACTTGAATTCATGGTCAAAGATCTAAGTTGGAAGTTCGGCTGATAGCCTGGGCTCTGAGTTGGTATCTAACCAGTTACCCATATGTTTAGATATGAGTCCTTACTTTCGCTGTTCTGACAATTAGGTTTAACTAAGTCCATCCTAGGAGTGACTAGTTAACATGTTAGTGCCCTAATCAGACATCGACTCTAGAAGGGTGCTTAGTTGGCATCTTTGTTCATTTGGGTTATAACAGAATACCTCAGAATGGGCAGTCTGTAAACAGAATTTTATTGCTCAGAGTTCTGGAAGATGTCAAGTCCAAGATAAAGGTGCCAGCAGATTTGGTGTCTAGTGAGGGCGCAGTCTCCATAGATGGCACCTTCTGTGTGTCTTCACATGGAGGAGGGGCAAACAGTTCCTTTAAGTCTTTTCTATTAATTTAAGGGCATTAATCCCATTTGCAAACGTTCTGCCCTCATAACCTAATCACTTAGTAAAAGCGCCCTTCTTAATATCTCCACAGTAGTGATTAGGTTTCAACATGTGAATTTTGAAGGACACAAACATTCAGGCCATAACAGTTGGCATGAGACTAATCAAGAAACCACAATCTAGCAGCCTTTCCTAAAAGCATCTCAGCTAGTTGCCTTTATCTTCTGTCAACAACAGATGTGTAAGACATAATTTTTCACTGTGGTATGGAAGTTTGTGGGCTGTCCAGAAATACTGCCCAGTTGCCTCCTCCCTCACGTGAACAGGGTATAATAATCCTATAAATCCAACAGACCATACCCTAAGGGATGGTGTTTTAAGGCTTAGGATTCTGAAAGCATCCCCTGTTCTACCCATTATCTCAGGGTTTGTTCCCTGACTCCAACTAAAAGTGAACTGTCGCTATGATAATGTTGCATATGCCTCAAGTGGACCACTGAAACAAGGTACTGACAGAATACCAAAAAGACAGAATTGGAATTTCATAGAGCTAGAGAAGAGTTTACATGACTGTTTTTGTGCCTGCTTGCTAAAAAGTATCTAAATGAGCGGCAGAATTCAGTTTGAATTAACCCACTACCTGGTACACAGCGGGTGGGGTAGAAGGCTTACAGCCTTCATCTACATATAATTACCCAATATCTACAATATCAAAAAGAAACCAGTAACTGTGAACAACCAAGTTGGTTTTTAAGTTAGCTCACAACCTTTAGAGAGTACAGGTATAGGTTATTTTAATTAATGGTATTAATGTAAGTATTAATGTGTTGTGTGTGTGATTTTTTATTTGGTTGGTTGTGGGTGTTTTCTGTGTTTTCTTTTTGCTATGTGTGTTTTTGTTTTTTCTTTTTGCCCTTACTAAACAAGTAATGTAAATTTCAAATTAGATGCTGTTTTTTAAAACTGATATCTACATTGACTTTAATAAAAGATCAACCACTAGGCAATCTTAAATCAGACTGATTCCCATCTAGAATAATTATCAAGCAACTACAAGAAGGACTAACCATGCTTCTCGAATTGCCATATATTTCATAAGTATTTATAAGTATAAATTTAAGTATTCTGGAGTTGGAGTCTTCCTTCCCAATAGAAATGAAATTTCCTTCTGTTAGCACCTATTTCCATTAGAATTATATATATTTTTGAACTAAGGGTTATATCTACCAGCATCCTTAGGTATCCAATAGTATCTGATCACTGACCTGAAACATTCAAGCAATTCTAAATTATTTATCCTTGTGGAAGAAGACAAACTCTATGTGCTTTGAAACTCACCAACAACGTCTGGCTAGAATTCATGCTGTGTGAACCTGCATAGAAATCTTATATACAACATGGGAAAATAGTTTATCGATATTTCAGACACCAAAAATATAATAGATGCTTTTTTTTCCCTCAATAATGGGAGGGAAACATCTTTGCCAAAAGCTGGACAGAGAAATTGACTCTGTATTACTCTAACCCTGCTTAAAAAAAAAAAAAAGAAAACCAATCTTTTTAACTTAGACAAAGGCAATAAGGGTACAGAATTTATTTAAATACCATTTTAAAATGGAAACAATGACCAAAAAACTACCATATAACACATGAAATCTATTGCTGAAAATATTTCTGTATGTACAGTTTTCAGAGTTCATAAATTCACCATTTGTCTAACTTTTCGGCAGTTAATGTGATTTATAAAATATAAATTGTATTATATTACAAAACTTCAGGGTTGTAGATTTACTTACAATTGATTTGTAATTAAACAACATGACTAACTTTGCATTCCTAAATCCTGCCAATAAGCCCATTAGAAAGGCAAATAATGAGAAAAGTGTATGTTGAGTCCACAAGACCGCTGCCAGGTTCAGTGATTCAAGGAGGATACACAGGACTCAACACAGAATAATACTAAGAGCTATGATTTACTACAGTGAAAGAATGCAAAGCAAAATCAGGCAAAGGAAAAGGTGCCTAAGGCAAAATCCAGGGGGAACCGGGAATCCAAGAATCCTCTCCAGGCGGAGTCACACAGGATGCACTTAATTTCCCCAGCAATGAATTGTAACAACACGTGTGAAATGTTGTCCACCAGGGAAGCTCATTAGAGACTCAGCACCCATGATTTGTATGCCAGACTGGTCCCATAGACACTGTCTCCCCACCATGTACCAAAATTCCAGCTCTGAGAAAGTAGGTGATCAGCATAAACCACGCTGTCTGCAAAAACAGTTAAGGCACAGTGAGGCACTCTCATCAGGAAATGGTGAAAACTCTTCTGAAATTCAAGGTCCCAGACTCCAGTCAAGGGCCAA